TGCATTGAGGGAGTACTTAAGTGGAGGCCCAATGTCTATCTGGTACCTTACTACTAAATCTATAAATATATGCACATAGATTTATTTCCTCATCATCATAAATAAATAAATTTACATATGTACATGCCTGTATTTACACCTCTATAAATGTCCTTTATCTCCTAGTTCTTTCTACTATTTCCTTTGGAGGCATTTAATGTTCATGGATAAATCATTATAGGATATATCTCATGATTATGGCTTTATAAAATCAGAGAACACTAAAAAGTAATAATAATTCAATGACTTTGAAAACCATTTAATGCTGTTAGGAGATACCAGAGATCTGAGGGTTCTGATTTGAGGAACTGAATCTTCCTTTAAATCCACTCATTGTCTAGTAAGCAAGTCAGGAAAAGTTCTCATTTGGAAGAAAAGCATGAATGATTTGCTTATCAACAGTATTTATAAATATAACCATTGGGGCTATTTACCTGGGAAGTATAATAGCATAAATTGAATGCCTCTGAAGGTGGGGTGAATGGAAATTTGTAAGGTCCGCTAAAGGCAGAATCATCTGTTGCTTCAATACTAGTCGATGTAAGAACTGCAGAATCCAGAGAAGTCACACAGGGATGGGCCAGAATGTCCTGCAGAGGAGATCCATTGGTGGGGAGACTCAAGCTGATGGTAACATTCGGCATGATTCCTTCCAAATCACACTGAAATAAAACAAGTGAATATTATTGGGGTTTTAGAAGCACCTCCCACCCCCCAACATGTAGGGCTTTTCTAAATGTTTATCAGTCATTTTCCTCAACTTAATTAATTTTCCCTGCATGGTATTGTTCTTTCTGTGTTTTGGTTAATGGATTGATCAAGCACCTAGGGCAGAGACCACTTCTAGACCCCTCCAGGCTTGCCACAAAACTCTCAACATCTGTTTTAACTCTACTGACCTCTCCATTGGTCTAGAGCTTACAATTTGTTATAGTTCTTTGGATCTGTCTACACTTACTTCCTTTTAATCAATCTGTCTTATAATAATGCCAAAACAAAAACAAACAAAAGCCCCCAAACATAATGACCTGAACCCTTTGCTGTCAAGCTGTTTCTGATGCATGGCAACCCATGTCAGAGAATTAGTGGTGGGTTGAGGGCTAGAATCTCATTCCACAGGCTTTCAGTATTCCTGGTTTTTTATTAGGATTAAGGGAAAATGAAGAGTATCTTATCTTTTTATTATAGAGTCCTAAATACAACTCCTTTAAGCACTACATTCCTGAATTACTAAAAGAAACATTAACTGCGTGTGTTACACACACACACACACACACACACACACACACATTTTAAGACATATTCTAAAGAAAGTTTTCATCATCATAATCTGTATCAGAATTAAGAATATGAACCAATACGAAATTCCTGTAAGCAATAAAGTTGGGTCAGACTTTCTGTGAGCTGAGACATTATATGCCACAATATCAATATTACACAATGGGTTAAGTGTTGGACTGTAGCCACAAGGTCAGCAGTTCAAATCTACCAGCTATTCTGCAGGAGAAAGATGAGGCCGTCTACTCCTAGAAACCCTGTTTATGGATGTTATGACCAAGAATCGACTTGATGGCAGTGCGTTTGATTTCTTCTTTTTCATATATAGTATGAAGTCCCTGGGTGGTTCAATTGTTTGCACTTGGTGGTCTGAATATGACCAGTTTCCACAAGGAAGTCCTATAAATGCCATAATGCACAAAGATCTAAAATTAGGAGCCACTTACAGATATTTTTTCTGAACTGAAATGCAGTTTTTATTATGACAGAAATGAATTTTATTCTAGGTGAGCTTGTTTACCATTTGTACCCTCACTCCCTCCAAGACTTAGTGCCATCAAGTTGATTCTGACTCGCCAATCTGTACCACCCCAAGGAGCTAAATTCCGTCGATAAGAAATGTGAAAAGGTCACATTATGAAATTTCACATAGAACTAACATCTCAAAAAAAACACAAAGTACTAACATCTACTGACTGCTGCTTAGGACAAACATCAAGGCTATCATTTAACAACGTAAAACAGTTTTCAACATATTCTTCAATATTCTTTTCTCAATATGGCAAATGGTATGATAAAAAAAATTACCAGTGAACACCTTACCTTGCAAGTTACAGCTCCAATGACCTGCCACAGATCTGCTATATCCTGTTTATCATACTGCATAGATTTTACCTTTTCGTTGATAGAAATAGAGATATGTGGTTTCCCTTTGTATGTTCCAGTTTTCCAAGCAGGTTGTTTTGGTGGCTGCGTCATGGAAGCAACATTAATATTATCCAATGAATTTTGTAAGTTAGCATCTAACAAAGTACCAAATGGACAAGTCTGTAGAAGCAAGTCAGGTAACTGGCCCAGTTTTGTATTTAGTTCATCGTCATTTTTTTGACTTGAACAGAGAAAATCCTGCACCCCAAAAAGGAGTTCAAAAGCTTGTGAAATTCCACTAATGTTAATTAGTGATGGGCGAGGGGACAAGGCTTGTTCAACTAGTGGCACAGAAGCATATATCATGTCATTCTTTAAAAAAGCGACAACTGGCCAAAGTTCATCACCGCCTATCCTAAGTCCAAACACAGATGTTTTATTGATCCGTGCACAGCTATCACGACTCTCCATGAAGTCCTTATCATTGTCCAATAATCCAAGTTCAAAGAGCAGGGCTTTAAGTAACGGGCCATCTTCAGGAATAGGCACATAACTTGCTCCATTGAAGACTTTGGCTCGTTTTTCAACAGTTGGATACCGTCTGCAATATGTAAACAGAACGCTATAAATGTTTCTTCCTAGGAAAATCAAAATGGAAGAATTAAAAACAACCCCCCCCCCTTAGGCAAACAGTAAAAACAACAAAGCACACAAGTACATACATACACCCACAAAAGCCAACAACCAAAAACACTGTATTTTAAATTCCTACTAAGTTCCTGTTTCAGACTTTATAGGTTATTCACAGGATAAAGTATCATAGTCTTTCATTGAAAATGCATATTTCAGTTAGATATGTAATATTTAAAATACGTTATGCACGGTTCTAAGTTCAAAATCCTTGTCCCTTGGCCACTCAGATGCCCTCTTGGTAGGCAGACACAATTTAACCACCATAGTTTCTGTCTATGGCTCTGGAAGAGTAAGATCTGGAATAGTCCCCATGGGTTTCTTGCCCTGGGTTGAACAATAAAATATTTTTGCTCATTTAAATAAACCTGATATAAAACCTTAGTGGAAAAATATATACTTTCCTCTACTCTTTCCACTGTACTCCAAAATTCAGAGCAAAGTCATTCATTTGCTATCAAATTTTGGATAAATCATTTAACTTCCCTGAACTAATTTTTTTAGTTGTAAAGCAAAGACCTTTTTTCAAAGGTCCTTTATACAATGACTCAACAGGTGCTCAGTAAATACTTGGATGAATGACTCACTTTAATACTTCAGTTTTAAGCTCAGCTGTCTTTAAAAGAGTACTCAAACTCAGCAGGTCCTACAACTATGGGGTATCTATCAACCAAGACATTCTTAAGCTAACAGGAAATCTCTACCGCAGAATCCAAACTAAGTTTGGGTGTGGGAACAAAAGAGTTGTTAGATAAAGATAATTTGCTTTCTTGAATCTTAACTAATGGCCATTATACTTTAGCAGGTGCACTGGTGGCGCAGTGGTTACTCATTGGGCTATTAATCAAAAGACCAGCAGTTTGACAGCCACTTCTAGGGAGAAAGATGGGGCTTTCTACTCCCATATAAAATTACCGTCTCAGAAACCCAAAGGGGCAATTCTACCCTGTCCTAGAGGGTCGCTATGAGTCTGCACTGACTTGATGGCAGTGAGTATACTTTAGCAAGGAACGAGGCGGCATAGTGGCCAACTACATGGTTCCTAACCAAAAAGTCAACAGTTCAAAATCACCAGCCGTGATGTAGGAGAAAGATGTGGCAGTCTGCTTCTGTACAGATGTATTGCTTTGGAAACCCTACGGCCAGTTCTACTCTGTGTTACAGAGTCACCGAGTTAGAATTAACGACAGCAGTGGGTTAGTGTACTTTGGTATATGTGACTAATAGGCCAGGAAAGATTTAGTCTAACACCAGCCCCAAGAGGTCACAAAACTGATTATAACACCTAACTAACATTCATGCAATGACATAGAATGAGTAACTTAATAGACCACTAATTTGAGTCTACCCTGCTGCCCTCATAGAAATGTTGAAAGCCCACCCAAATACAGCTCATAATTTCCTTAGAAACATTATTCTGAACTCAGTTGGTGGGGGGGATGGGGTGATACACTTTAGAAAATAAACACTACTTTTTCAAGGTATTTATCTTTTTAAGTAGTAAAAATTTGTTTAAAAACCCAACTCAATGAGTTACTATGCTACAAAGTCACACCAATAAAAATATGGGCACAAGAACAATATTTATGAGTAGGGTGAAGTCAAATTACTTGGTATGACTTTTCTTTCCATAGTCTTTGCAACTCCCACCAAAGGTTTGGGTGGAACCATGCAAATCACTCACTGCCACCAAGTTGATTCTGACTGAGAGCAACTGGAGCAGAATTGCCCCAGTGGGTTTCCAAAGTGTACATCTTTACAGGATTAGAAAACCGCATCTTTATTCTATGGAGAGGCTGGTGGCTTTGAAATGCTGACCGTGTGGTTAGCAGGCCAATGCTTTACGCGACAGCATGTATGGCCTCTTTCTGTAGTTTTTGCAACTCCCACCAAAGGATTGTGTGAACCTCTAATAGAAAGGAAGTCAGTTTTGCCATTTCATTGGGTATGAAATGAGCCAATTCAGAAGTAGGATCAGGAAATCCACAACCATCAAGGGGGAAAAAAAAAAAGCCATGAGCAGAGCATGTTATGGGATCCCCTGCCTGAAGTAGCAGAGGCAGCAACAGCATCGAGACCATGAGACAGAGCAGTAGGCTCACAAGCACAAGGTCGGTGTAAAGCCCAATGTCTTTGGGCGGGAGGCTAGCTTGCAGAGTGGGGTGTCCTTGGGCATTTATCCTTAAGAAAGAGGCTTTGTTAGCACTTGGCCAAGCAGGGCAGACAGAAGTCAAGGGGAACTCTGGCTGAGAAATTGAGGACCAGAGACATGCCTGCAGGCCTGGCTGAGAACATGTACTGCTACAGACAAAATGACTATTCCCTTCATGTTTTTTATCCTGA